TACCTTTCATTACAGCACAGTAAGAGGGACCTCAAAAGATAGTGGTCTCAACTGAAGACTTCCCAGCTTCCCTTCCCCCACATCTCACTTTTGGTTTTGAGATTGGGTCTTAAGTAGGTCAGGGTAGCCTTGACTCCTGATGGCCCTGTCTCCACCTCTAAAGTGCTGGGATTATATATACAGTGTGGAAGGTAAAGGATAACACCAAAGGTTGTCTTCTACACAGCTGCATGCATGCACATTTGCATGTACACACACACAAATAAAAACAGAAATACATTTCTCATTAATTCAGTGTTTAAAAGTGGGAGAATGAGAGACGTCTCCCATAGGCTCAAGCATTTGAACCTTGGCCCCAGTTGGTATGTTGTTCGGAGAAGTGGTAGAGGGTCAGCCGTGAATGGAGAAAGTGTGTAACTGGAGGAAGCGTTGGAATTCTCAAAGCCTCTTTCCATATTCAGTTTGCTCTCTCCTATTCATGTCTGTGGAAGAGGATGTGATCTCTCAGATTCTCATTCCTGCCATCATGCCTACCTCTTGCATCTGTGCCTTCCCATAACGATGGACTCTTAAGCCCCCTGGAACTGTAAACCCCAATAAACTTCTCCTTCTTCCTTAGCTTTCCTCTGGTCATGATGTTTCATCATAGCAACAGAAAAGCAGCTAACGCAGGAACACCAGAGTGGATTGTGGCTCTGAGGAACTAGCTGATGTTGGAAGACTTTGGAACTTTGATCTAGAAGAGTGGCTAAATGCCACAGGCAGTGTTTAGAGATCTGTCTGAAAGGAGCCCGAAAGCCAGCAGTGCCCAGAGCTGTGTGTGCTTGCAGGCCCAGCTCAGCCATCTCAGAAAGGAACAACATTAGCAACTGGGCTAATGGATAGTTATGTGCTAATTCGGCCAAGTATCTGGCTGCCTTCTTCTGCCCAAGCCTTGATAAATTGCATGCAGAAAAATTAAAATGTAATGGGCCAATCTCTCTGGTTAAAGAGATGTCAAGATTACATAATGTTCACTTGATGGCAAAGTTATTACTGGTATGTGGGTGCAGGCCTACAGTAAAATGCAAATGGGCAGAGAGAAGTATAAAATGTACCATTTGGAGAGGAAAAAGAGCACTAGGAAGCACAATGTTGTGGCCAAGGCATGTGCTGTTAGAGAGGCTGTAGTTGTGAAGGGGATTGCCCCTTAAGGAATGGCCTCCAGGTCTCCATTGTGAGAAAGGGAAGGGTATCCCAGGGGCCAGACCCCACCCAGCTAAGTTTCCAACCTGGGGAAGAGCCTATGGTGTTTTCTGCTCTTAGAAAACATCTGGATGAAATCACTGCTGCAGATGTGGTTCAGGGAGGTAGGGTCCATCCCAAGCTGGCTGCACCATCTAGGTAGAGCTAGCTGTAGAGGCGTGCAAGCTGGAAGAGTTTGCCATGGATTCTTCCTCTGGAGTTTCAGAGAGCTGCTAAGGCCGGGCACTGTGTCTCAGGAGATCCCTGCATGAAGGCCTTGTGAAGGCAGAAGGCCCTGCTACTTTGTTGTGTGAACTTGTGGAAGTGAAGCCTGGATTTCGTTAGAGACCCATAGATGCTAGAGATGCCAGAGCCATGAGTTATCTTCCAAGGAGATCTGCACACAGAGAGACAAACTAAGAGACAAATGTGTGCTGCAGGCGATAAGCCTGGTGCAGTCATCTAAACCTCTGCACAGAACTACAGGATTTGGAGTTTGGCCTTCTGAGTTCTGTATTTCTTCTCTATGCCTCCAGTTTTCTCTTTGGGGATGGCATTGTATATTCTGTGTCATTATATGATAGAAGTGTGTAATTTACTTTTTGATTTTACAGGGGGTTGTCTTTCAGAGACTGCCAGGTGTCTCAGCAGAGACTTTGAGCTTTGAGACAGTGTTTAGACTGTGAGAGACTATGGGGACTTTTGAAACTGTGCTGAATTCATTTTGCATCATGATATGGCTAAGGGTCTAGCTGGGGGCAGGTAGTGGTGGAATGTGGAAGTATGGATGAGAAATGGCCCCCATAGATCAGGCATTTAAACACTTGGTTCTCAATTGGGGGTGCAGTTTAAATACGGAGGAATTATGTCACTGGTTCGGGTTTTGGGAGTTGAAAGTCACATTTGTTCTCTGCCTGTGTTTGTTGTTGAGCATGTGATCTCTCAGTGTCCCACGCTTGCCCTCATGCCTGTCATTGTTGCTCTGTCTCCCCTCCAGAGGACTTTATTCCCCTGGGAGTACAAGACCAAACAAACTCCTCTATTTTGGGGGGTGATGGTTCGAGACAGGGTTTCTCTGTAGCTTTGGAGCCTGTCCTGTAATTCACTCTGTAGACCAGGCTGGCCTCGAACTCACAAAGATCCGCCTGCCTCTGCCTCCCGAGCACTGGTATTAAAGGTTTGCATCACCCCGGCCTGGCTTTGATCAGCGTGTTTTGTTGCAACAGCAGCAAAGTAACCAACACAGCCAGCAGTTACATGACAATTGTATGCTTTCTTCTGAGACACTCACACTTTACTTGCTATGTTTAAAATTTAGAACCTAGGTCAAATTAATTTTGATGTAGGTTGTAAGGGAGGAGTGAGTATTTGCACCATCCCCTCCTGACAAAGAAGACACTTTTGCGGGTCGAGACAGGGCAGCCTGTGAAACCGACGTTGCAGTGATAAGCTTTTGTGATTTTGAGTTTTGTATCTCACACAAAACACCCCACGATTCACTGAAACAAACAAATTATTGGCTGTTATGAGAAAGGGCCTTAGGAAAAGCATTTCTGCATAGCTTAGTTGAATGTCACCCCGTGGGAAGATGGAACTAGAATTATTGGATCTTCCAATTTCCTAAAAGAATGTGAAATCTGGGTTTTCATGTGAAATCCTGTGATGTTTAAGCATAGGCAACTATTTCTAAGTTATAAAAACACTGCATGGTCCAAACAAAACACATCTGTGGGCCAGATGAGGCCCTCGGGGTGCCAGCTTGAGGTTTGTGCTTTAGATTTTTCTTCCTCTTGCCCTCCAGGGTTCGTTTGTGTGCCTCGTCTACGGTCTTCCCGGTGTGAGGAGGACAGCCCTCATCACTTACGATTTTAACTGACTGTTGCTGGACCAGTTTTCTACTAGACTGTAGGTACTTGAAGATAGGAATTGTAGGTTCGGTTTGGTTTCTTCAGTCCGGGGTCTAGTGTATCATGCCTTGTACCTAGTAATGTTTAACATAAATGTGTGTTGGAGAAATAAATGGATGAAGGGACAAAGCATGCTGCAAGCAGACCAGACAGGAAAAGTCTGGCTCTCTGTTCCCCTGTGACCGGCTGGCTCGCCCTCATCCCTCTGTGCCCTCTTAGGTAATCTGACGGCTGTCCTTCGTGACTTTTTAAACAGGTGGTGTCTTCTGCCGCAGTGTGAGTGCTTGCCACTAGATGGCTCCCCTGGTTTAGCTTCAGACATTCTGAAGTCCTGAGGTCACTCTGAGGCTTGCTGAAAGAAACCAGGTCTTATTCTTAACCGCATTTCCTCCAGATGTCTGTCCTCCTGGGGCCAAGCACACAAGCAAAGCCACAAGGCCAGAGGAAGGTGCCCACAGGTGCGTCAGGCTTGGTTTGTTCAAGGAGAGTTTTGGGAGAGTCTCTTCACTGTTTTCGTCTCTAACCCAGCAAACTTGTTATTTTACTTTGCTGTGACCTGTTGGGGATGGGGGGTTGGGTGAAGGATGTGGTCTTACTGAGAAGGGCCCTAGGGCCTCCAGAGTGTTCGTGCTTAAAGAAGGTCTCTTGTGAGTTGTAGCAGGATGAAGCTGTCCCCAGGGCAGTTTAAACCTTGTGTTAATTGCTGTTCACTGTGAGGTCACCAGGACTGTGTGCCAACACCTGGGGGGTGTGCTTTTGCGTGACCTCTGGAGGATATTCTGAGCTTGGGGAGACAGTCTGTTCAGTGCTGTGTGATTTCCAGTTTAAACACAGATGGGGGGTCTTAGAAAGTGGCCCAGTCGGCAGAGTGTTTTTGGTATAACGTTGAGGACCCGAGTTCGGATCCCCAACCAGTGCTCCCCTGCAATCCCAGTCAGTGCTCAGCAGGCAGACACAGCCAGATTCCCAGAACCCAGTGGCCATCTAGTGATCTCTAGGCTCAAGGAGAGGCCTGATAGAAACAAACAAGCAAGAAAAAAAGAGCGAATGAGGAATGTGGATGTGGGGCCCAGGCCATGTGGGGCCCAGGGCAGCCTGGTCATACATACATGGGGCCCGAGCTGCACAGTTTCCAAAGCAGGCAGCACCAGGTTCCAGGAAAAACCATAAGCTGGCACTACCCAGGAACGGACCATCCAAAGGAAATTCCTAACATTCCAGCCATTGTAGATAGGATCACCTGCCAACACACACCCATCGCTTTTCACCAGGACACCCATAGACAAATGTCAGCCAATCAGGTATCCTCAACCTTAGAGATCCATCACCCCCACCTTTGCTACTCTAAAAACCCAACCTCAACTGAGCTCCAGGCTCTTCAGTCACTCCACGTGGGACACACAGAGTCTGAGTTTGCAAACTTGTGGAAGAACAAAGGCTGTTTGCTTTTATATACAGGGCACGGTCTCCTAGTTGGTTTTGGAGGAACACTGTGATCTGGGCATAACAAGGAAGTCACCCAACATTGATTTCTAACCTTTACATACATGAACACATGTGTATACATCACAGAGAGAGAGAGAGAGAGAGAGAGAGAGAGAGAGAGAGAGAGAGAGGCAGAAGGAGGGAGGAAATGATTGATTTGCCCTGTGGTTCCCAGCTCCCTTCCCAGCACTATCTTCAGCACGTGAACATGGCCATCTGAATGGAGCCATAGATGGCATCTTACCTAGCTCCTCCGAGTTTCCCCGGGACCCCAGATGTGTTGACTGAAATGGTAAACGGATTCTCTCAGCTGTGCAGAGCTCTCCAGCGTCCCACAGAAGGCTCAGAATCACGACCCTCCCCCTCCTTAGCACCGGAGCTTACCTCTGCCTTTTCTGTCCAGCATGGGCCGGACGTTTGTGCTTGTGTTCCTCCGTCGTCTTTGGGAAATAGCCACCTGCAGGTTAACAGAGTAGACGCTAAGGTCAGGCGGTGGCTGCTTCCTGACTTATCATTTACTCAGCCACTCTGTGCCTCAACGTCCTCATCTATGAAATGGGAGCAACGGTGGGAACTATCAGCACGGAAGTTGCTCAGAATAATATTCAGTAAGTTCTCAGTAAGTCACGCTGGTGAAGTGCACGGTGTTCGACTCTTCTCTAAGCGGCTCTTCGGGGTCAGCTCCCACGGTTGTGACTGGTGTGCTTGTCTCTGGTATGGGAGAGGTTCCCATAGTTTCCTAATCTTTTCCTCTGGGGATAAAATCTTTTATTTTATGATCCTCTTGCCCCCACCTCCTCAATGCTGGGCTCATAAGCATGTGCCACCGCAGAAGGCCTGAATATCCTTGGACATAGTTTTGATAGTAATCCCGTTGTGTGATACCCTATCCCTCAAAAAGTGTGTACTGTAAGTCACGCTGCTCAAGGCTGAAGGCAGCGGTTCTCACCTTCCTAGTGCGGCAGCCCTTTAATACAGTTCCCCATGTTGGGGTGACCCCCAACCATGAAATTATTTAGTTGTTACTTCATGACTGTAATTTTGCCTCCTCCAGCACACATACTTACATACATATAGGAAAACACTCATCCACATAAAATCAAAGTAAATAAATCGTTAAAAACTACACATGAGAATAATACAGACAACAACGTTATAAAGCTGTGTCCATTTATCTAGTTATTTACTTTGGGGACAGGATCTCAGGTGTCCTAGGCAGGTATCAGATTCACTACAGGAGTGTAGTTGACCTTGAACTGCTGATCCTCCTGAGTGCTGAGATCACTGGGTGTCTCGCCACACCTTACTTAGCCCCAATCTTTTATGGGAGACCAAGCAAAAGCAATCCGGTTGGCAACACAAATCAGCAGATGAAGTCAGTGGGGTTCAAGCTCTTCCTTATCTCGGGTCTTGCTTATGGTTCTCCTGAATTTGTGGAATTCAAGCCTATGAGGTGGAGGACACATGAATGCATGTTTAGCTTGCGTTTTGAACGCAGGTGAACACTTCTGCTCAGGTCAGGTGTGTTATGTTAGAGCCAATGAAGCATGTTAATCAAATTAGAGGGCACAGGTTCTCAGCTCTGCCTCCGCAGGTTAGCCCAGGTCTAGACTCACAAGGGCAAGACCTAGGGGCAGTCACAGGACCAATCCCACACCACTTCCTTCTGGTCCGTCCTTTGTGACATCTATGGTATGTCCCACAGCCTGACCAGGAAGTCCTGAGGAATCCAGCTCCACGTGTTCACTGGCTTTTATGAGGAAACCAGAAGAAAGAAATAAGTGGTTTATTAGTGAGTCATCTGTTTAAACAAATGTACCTTATTTCTGACATGACCCGAATGTTGGACACAGCCTGACCCCTTTTATTAGATTTGGAAATTAAAAAGCATCGAGTATGTGTAGTGGTTCAGATTCGCATCCTCCTGATTCCAAACCAATATAGTCATGAGATCCCCCAAAGGCCATTGCTTGTCTCACTTTCTAGAACCCTCTAACAGGCCTCTGGTCTAATAAGAAGTGGTGGCGCTCCCACTGGTGCTGAGGGCCACATGCTTGTCCCTAAGAAGTGGTTGGGATCAACAGAATGAAGGTGAGGGAGGGATCTTCCCTCTGAGCATCTAGCCGAGTCATCTTCAGCCCTTGTCAGCTGACTATTGTTAGTCCTCCATTACTTCCCATTCCCTCTGCCCCTAGTGTCCAACTTCACAGCCACTGTCCTGCCCAAATAACCCGTATGCTGTCGGCCCCATTTTAGTGCTTTCTGTATGTGCATTTTTATTTTAGAGAGTCTTCATATTTAACTTTGGCCGGCTTGGAACTCACTATATAGCTGGCCTCAAAGGCATGCAATCCCTCTGCCTCAGCCTCCTGGGTGCTGAGACAATAGTGTGCCTCACCACACCTGGCTAGCCCCACTTTCGGAGCATCTTGCCATGAAGATGCCAGTAAGGTAGGTGCTGCTGCAAGCCATTTAAATCTAGACAACAGCAAAAGAAATGTCATCTATAATCCTAGACTGCTGGGTACTGGGTGAGTGACAAGTTCTCAGCCATTTGTACTGAGTGGAAATTTGGTGCCATCCACAACTGGTTGGTTTGGAAACAGGCAGAACTCTGCAGGAAGAACACAAGAAGAGATCAAAATGACGTCAATTCAGTTAAAACTTTTCTTTCCCCAAGACTGGAGGATCAAGAAGGGAACAGTGCTTGGTGCCCTCAAATCGCGCGGGGGGGGGGGGGGTGGTTCGCCTCCCCC